GCGCGGATTTCCTGCATCATCTGCGCTGGTCCCCCCTCCCCGGCGCGCGGAGCGCGCCAAGGGGGCCCAACGCTGATCCAAGATATCCGTGCGGACTCACGCAACTCTATATTTGTAGCGTTTTTGGGCGGCGAGCCTGGAGGGAAGTCAGAGTGGGCTGGCCTTTTCAAATGGCTCGGAAGGCTTCGGGCCGTCTTGGAAGTTCTCTGACCCTACCTCGGGGACAGGGACAACTTCTGAGACGGCGAGAGGGCTTCCGAGGTGCCCCGCCGCCTGCTGAGAAGGCCCGTCCCCTCTCACTCTCCCCCCCCCCTTGGCTCGCCGCCGAGTCTTCGAATAAACGCATACTGTTGGGCCTAGCTGCCCCGATACGCACCACGCAACCCCTAGCTCAACACGCAGACTGATAACGTAGGTATGGCGCGATACGTTTGCCAACACATGGGCCAATACGCTGAGCCAACACGCAACGTATTGACACGGACGTCTTAAGCATGGTACGCGTTGCGTTTCGAAACGGGCGTATCGAGGCAGCTGATCCCTCGGGGGTCTGCGAGGATGTCTTGGGTCGGCGCTGGCCGCCTCCCCCAGGCGCGCGGATCGCGTAAAGGGCGGACCCCGCGGCGCCGCTGGGAGGCCCCCACCGCCGACCCAAAAGATCAGCGCCAACATCCGAGAGCCTACAGCGCGACCAGACCACAAAGGATGTGCGGTAATTACTTGAGGGGGCCCAGGGAGACACCCATCGACACTCATTCCAAAATCTCCCACATGACGGATTCCAAAACCCCTGAACCCCAAAACGTTTTCATCCCGTGGGGGGGGCATCTTTTACTTCCGCCGGCAATCTGCCGGCCTTCCGCCAGCGGAGGCGGCCTCGTTTTACTTCCGCCGGCTTCCGCTGCCCTTCCACCGCCTTCTGCCGAGGAGTCGATGACAACTCCTTCGACCCTCTAACGCAAGGCCCTTTGTGGAACGCCTCACATGTGTCTGTACTTGCTGGATGTGCATCTTCCCCTCCATTTATCCTGTGTTTCATTGTCTTGGCGAAGGGCAGCGTTTGTCTGTCTGTCTGTCTGCATGTATGTTTGTATGTATGTCTGCATCTAAGAAAGTATGTATGTATGTATGTCTATATGTATGTATGTATGTCTGTATGTATGTATGTATGCATGTATGTGTATGTGTATGCATATATGCATGTATGTATGTATGTATGTATGTATGTATGTATGTATGTAGGTATGTATATATGTATGTATGTATGTATGTATGTATGTATGTATGTAAGTATGTATGTATGTATGTGTTTACGCTTACACACACATATATATATATATATATTCTTCTTGAAGGATGCTAGGCCCTTGGACACCAACATCGAGCCCGAAGTTGAAAACCATATGGCCCAGTGGCACAGGGCGAGGATGGGCCGAGAGGCAAGGATACGAGGGCACCCTGCGCAAGTTGCTCCCCCTCTGCAGTATGCACAACGCATCCTGTCTATTACGGGGGTCGCCGCCCCGCGACCGCTGCCAAAGGTGCCGCACTGGCTTGCCGCCCCGGCCGCCCCTCGGCGACGCTCCTCGCCATTTGAGTGCCCTCCCCTCCATCCCTCCTCCCTCGCGGCCGCTTTCGCCTGTCTTTCCCTCCGCCCGCCGCCCGTCAGCTTGCGCCTTCCATTGTTGGACCGCCTGAGCGCGCGTGCGGGCTGCCTCTGCCGCGCTGCGACGTAAAAGTATATCAGGGGGGTGTAGTGACCCAAACTGCACCCGAAAATCCGCCCGAGTGTGACCGACATCGGCGCCCGAAATGATCCCAAATCGCGGCTTTTCTGGTTTCGAAGCCAGCGCAAGGTTCAATGTTTGACACACTACGCTGTCGGTCGCAATTTCGGGCAAGTTGTCGCTCACCGTTTTTGTTGTTCGGTCACCTACGCTCGAAAACTTTTGCCTAGCGTGTTGCGGCGGCAACCCCGGCGGCACGCTGTCCCCTGCAAGCGGTTAGCGTGCGCCCCCACTCCGCGGGGCGGAAGGTCGGGAGAGGCTTGGGACCGTGGACGCCCAGGGGCTGGGATGTGGACAGCGTGTCGCGCCGCAGCGCGGTGTGCCAGAACCGGCGGAGCGGCACGCTGTCCGAAGGATCCCGACCGTATAGGGGCCGGGCGCCATGGCAGTCTGCTCTTCTCTGAGACGACGGCGGGGCGCACGCCCAGCTCTCGTAGGTAGCTCTGTCCTCCATGGCCTCTCGGTCGATTGGGGCCGAGGGGGCTTGAGCATCTCGAGGGGGCTCGAGGGCGAAGGGGCCGAAGGGGGCTTGAGCATCTCGAGGGCGAAGGGGCCGAGGGGGCTTGAAGCCCCCTCGGGGCTATCCAGCCCGAGGGGGCTGGAGCATCTCAGCTACGAGGGGCAACGAGAAGGGGGGGACTGGCTCAGGGGAGCGCAGGAGGCTTGTGCGCTACAGTCAAGACGCACAATGAGCATGCGCGGTCAGGGTGCAAGGCCTTGTGCTGCCATGTTGGCGTTTTCTGATGGGGCTGGCCAGCGAAGGTCGCCAAGGATGGGCCGAAGGACTAAGGATGCAAGGGTAGCTTTGTAAAGTTGCTCATCCTTACTATGCGACTTGACTGTGCTGCATCGTTTCTAGCCGCCGTCTCCACTTGTGGGCCGCGCGCGGCCTCGGCGCGCGATCGGACCTTGTCTGTCTGGCTCAGGGGGGCAAACGCCAGCCTGGGATCGGCGATACATCGCCGACAGATCGGCAAGAGGCCCCCGACAGCGAGTGCGCACACTACCTGGCGGGGTGGGCTGCCGGCCCCCCTCGGCGATGAAGGGGCGGCCGGGGGCCCCTGCAGCCTCCCTGGAGCCGACCCTCCCCTGACAGTGCCCCCTGAACCCAGTGAGCGCGACCCCTGACACCCTCGCGTCGTGCATGGATCACGGTGGCAGTTGTTGTGCCACCGTTTGCTCTGCCTCCGGGGGCCCGTCCCAGGACCGCGGGGCAGCGAAACACAACAAATCATGATGAGATGCTGGTCCAGGAGAGCCCAGAATCGAATCGATGTCGGCCCGGCGATCAAAATTAATCGGATCGGCGGAAATCGCCAGGCTAGTAGGCCTCCAGTAGAAAGCGGAGTCCAAATCGGACTCCCAAATCGAATCGAATCGGAATCGGAAGCCACCGAAGCCGAATCGAATCGAACTGGAGGAATCCAAACGAGCCCTGCGGTCCCAGGGGAGGGGTCCTGGCGTGTGGGGAGCCGCGCTGCAAGCAGGAAATCACGACGTCGGATGTCTGGGGAAAGCGGGAGGGCACCCCGCGCTGGAAAAAACTGTAAAACTGCACCGGCGGGAGGGCGCCCCCAGTGCGCCGCCGCGGGGCCGAGGGCCTGCGCAGACGGCGCCCGCACACCACAGGCGAGCCTGGCAGGGGGCCGCTCGTGTGCGCGTGTCGTGACGGGGCGGGCGTTGGCTTCCAGCGCTGCGTGGATCGTTCCAGGCCTGCGCGGCTTCCCCATACCATCGGACCCAGGACGTAAGAACATCCTCCAAGCATGAGACCCTCCGCCGGCTAAAACACACAGAGCATCCGAGATGACCCTCTCCAGGATGCACAGCAGCATCCAACAGGCACGAAGAGCATGCGGGCACCCGCCCCGAACCGACCTCGATCGGATGCCTCGGCTTGACCGCAGCGCAGATCGTTCGATGTCCGCCTGTTCTGGTGAGCATCGTTGAACCGATCCCCATCCCCACCAGCGTGGGCTGGGCCCCACTGGCCGATTGACCCCCTGATGGGGATATAGGCCGCTCCCTTCGGGTTTCGAGGGGCGCATCCCCAACTGAGGTGGTGAGACGGTAGAGCTCGAGATGTGGGGGGGGGGATGGGGATAGGGATCGGCTAACCGATACTTCGACGTCGACCCCCAGAGGTCTGGACCCCTTCCCTGGGACCGGTTTTTTATCCTGGGCCGCCTTTCGACGCTCGCGAGGCCCGGCGAGGGCCCCCGGAGGCCGAAAATAGCGAAAAACCTCCCGTCGCGATTTTTTCGCAACGAGAGGGGGCCTGGGATGGGGGTAGGGATCGGTTAAACGATACTGATCTGGGCCAGTGGTGGCGCTCACCCTGGAACGCCCAGGCTGTGGTCGCCGCCGCAGCCACGCGGCGCGAGCCCGCCTCACGAGGCGCCCCCTGGCCGGGGGCAGCAGGGCCTGCGCACCGCCCCAGGGCCGAGGGTGGTGCTGGCCAGGAGCGGTGGTGTGCAGTCAACCCGCAGAGTAAGGATGCGCGATAAGGATGCAAGGCCCTTGGAAGCCCATCTCGAAGCGTTTCGAGCGGGGCGCGGCCAACGAGAGTGTCCAAAGATGGACCCAGGAAGCAAGGATGCAAGGGTACCCTTGGGAGGGATGCCTATCCTTACTCTGCGGGTCAGCTGTACAGTGGAGGCCAGTCCACAAGAAACCCAACCCTGAGATCCCAGGACGTCCATTGCTTTTCGGTGTGGGAGCGCCACGCTTCCCATCGCAAAACCATCGAAATCCAAGAGGCCCAGGGTACCCTGGGAGGCAAGCAGGGTGTTTCTTCGCATGGGCCCCCACTGTACCCTGACCTTCCAGGAGGGCTAGAAAGCAGCACCAGAACCCCCCAGCTCGACCCCTGTCGAGGTTATCGGCAGTCCAGATCGGTCTTTAGGTTTGGAGGGCTACTGTTTAGCACTCTGGAAGGTCGGGGTATGGATGCCCACGTCGAGGTCGGGGGCGGCCAACAGGGGGGCGTCCAAAAGGGGGGGGCGCAAATCATGGCCGGCGGCATGTGCGCGGCCCAGGGGGGGGCCATGGACGTAATATAGAATAGGAAGATGCGCCATGAAATCTGAGAAAATAGCATGGCCCCCGCCATGATCAACCACCCAATCATCACCCCCCTCTTTGCCGCCCCCGAGGTATGGCCGCCCTCGTTGAGGGGGGGAACCGCCTGCGCACCGCCGCAGGCGTGCAAGGTCAATCCAGGTCTGTTCTCTTCGACCAGTGCCCCGCGGCCGACCAGTGGTTGGCCGGGTCGACCCACCAGTGCCCGTCGAAGGCAGAGTTGTGCTTGTCGACGGGGGCGCATCGGAACTCGTCCCGGACGTGGGTCCACCGCGCCCCTGGAGAGGAGGAGGAGGAGGAGGAGGAGGAGGAGGAGGAGGAGGACGAGGAGGAGGAGGAGGAGGAGGAGGAGGAGGGAGGAGGAGGAGCAGGGAGGCCCTCGCCAAACCGAGGAGGAGGGAAGGCGATCGAGGCTTCGCCCGGGGCCTCTCGCGGCGGGGGGCTCCAAGACCACGCCTGGGGAGCCCCCTCCTGGAGCCAGTTCCTCCCCTTCGGAGTGGATTTCTTGCTATAGGGGGCCCACAAGTATACACCACCACCACCTCCCTCCCTCCCTCCCTCTCGCTGGAAAGAGGAGAGAGGAGGAATCGACGTGGTGGTGGTGTATATCATTTGGGCACCCATTGTTGGCTGAAACCGTCCCCTACTTCTTTTTCTCCTCGCTCTCCCTCGCTCTTCCCCCTGCTGCTAATCTTACGGGACGACCACCATCAATCCCAGCAGTACCAGCTGCCTCATCCAGAGAGGCCGCGCCAAACAATGACCGTTTTTGTTCAGTTCCTGGGTAACGGCCGTTACCCGGGGGGGAAAGTCGGGCGGGAGGGTAATTGTAACGGCGGCGCGGCGTGTGCCCGCCAGGATGCGTGCGTTCCACCGGCGTATCAATCGCTAGTGTGCACAGCACTCCCGGTGTACACGACAGTGCCCAGTGCCTGCGTGCAACACAGCGCCACCTGTGTACACACACCGATGCTTCCGTACAACACAACAGCCGCGTGCACTGCAGCACCACGTCGCCTATGCACACCGCTGTGCCTGCGTATACTGCAGCAGCCGTGTGCGCAACAACGCCCATGTACACCGCAATGCCTGCGCGCGCCAGAACGCCAGCACCGTGAAGCTGGAGCACCCCAGGATCCCACATAAAACAAACACCTAATATCATAGGTTGATAGACATCCCCGTGGAAAGTGTAGCGTCAGTGGATTCTACAGACAACTATTGCTTACACCAGAAATATGGACAACGGAGCGCCTCTGGATTCCACTGAGCACGCATTTGGTGTACATATATATATATATATATATATGTGTGTATGTATGTATGTATGTCTGTCTGTCTGTCTGTCTGTCTGTCTGTCTGTCTGTATGCATGCATGCATGTATGTATGTATGTATGTATGTACGTACGTACGTACGTACGTACGTATGTACGTATGTATGTATGTATGTACGTATGTATGTATTTATATAGGTAGATATATGTAGATATGTGTGCATATATTTGTACATATATATATATATATATATATATATATATACACGGCCCCCCGGGCCTCGCAGGGCGTGGCGCGCTCCCGAAACGGCCCCAGAGAGCCCCAATACGGTCCACGACGACCCCCAAGAAGCCGTCATAATCCCAAGCATTGTCCCGAAGCGTCCCAAGAGGCCTCCAAGAGCACCCCCAAGAAGGCCCCAAGAGACAACCATCATTGATCTTCTGTTGGTTTTTGGTTTATTTTGGGGTTCTCCTCTTTTCGGCTTCCCGACGCTCCAAGACGGCGGTCATCTGGGCGTCAGAAGCCGCTTGGGAGGCTCCAAAATCGCCCCACAACCATCCGAAAGGGCTTCCAGGCAGTCCAAGAGAGCCCCGAAACGGCACAACAGGGGTCCAAGATGGCCCTCAGAGAGCCCCATGGCGGCCCAAGATGGCCCCAATACACCCTCCGAAGCATTCCAAATTGTGACCCGGTCGTTCAGGGAAACCGCGGTTGGAGGCAGGGTGGCCAGAGGAAACCCCCAGAGGCCCCCAGAACACGCCCAGGAGGCCTCCAGAAGACCTCAAGAAAGCCTGAAACAAATTTTGTGAGGCCCCCAGACGCTCTCCAAGGAGGAGCCTCCGCAAAAAGAGCTGGGGAGGATGGGGAGAATGCGCAGGGCATGGCGAACATGAGGAAAAAGAAGCATGGAGGAAGGATAACGAATAACATTATTATAGCGGCGATGCCAGAAAAAAAGGCAACACGTAGTTATCGCTAAATTGTCGGTTTGGCCTTCCTGCTAGTCCGCCTGCACACCAAACTTCAAGGACCAAGGTGCGTGGCGCGAAGCGCCACTGCAGTCTTGTGTGTGTATATATATATATATATATATATATATGCAGATGTTTTATGGACAGCGGAGCGCCTGAATTACACAGAAAGGCTCTGTTGAATGAAAGAATCCCGATGGAAATTGGGGCACATGTTACTAAAACAACCCCTATTGGAAGTGGAGCGCCTGAGGATTCTACACGCGTGCGCCAAAACGCCAGCGTACACCACAACGCCTGGGTGCACCACAGCAACCGCGTGCAACACAACGTCGGTGCATACCACAATGGCTGCGTGCACCACAGCGCTTGCGTACACCACAGCGCATGTGTACACCGAAGCAGCCGTGTGCAACACAGCGCTGGGGTGCACCACGCTGCCTGCGTGAACCAAAGCGCCTGCGCACACCACAGCGCCTGCGGGAGGCGGCGCGGGGCCGCCCAGTCTTCATCTTCTCCATGGCACTGTGTCTACAATCGATACGTGCCTTAAGGACGGGTGGTAAGAACGCAAGACCCTTGGAAACCGAAGTTGGGTTGGCGCAAGCTGGCCAATGAAAGCGGTAATTAAAAGACAGGCAGCAAAGGCAAGGACACAACGGTACCCTAGAGAAGGCGTGCGTCCTTTTAGGCGCGTTGACTGTATCGCAACCGAGCACTGGCCAGAAGGAAGAGAGAAAGCCCCACATTTTGCACTTGCGGAAAAGGTGGTCGAACCAGCCTGCGGAAGCTGAGCCATCGCCAGCTGCCAGCTGCACTGGACGACGGCGACGACGACGACGGCAACGGTCTGACACTGTTTTACTTTTTCGTCCCTCGTCCACAGCTACAGATCCCTCAGCAGCTTACCCCGATCGCTTCGTGGTCCTCAGAGAGGTAGGGCTTCACGCAGCGAAACAAGAAGGTTGGTCACAGGCAGCCGCGGGCTCGTTTCTGATGGTCCAGGGCCCGAAACGGCCCCGTGGGTCGCGATCAACCTTGAACGCCCGCGCCGGCGTTGCCGCCGCGTCAAGAGGCGTCGAGCCTGCCAGCGCCACAAAACGCTTGTGAGCACCAATGCGTGCCGTTCAGACCACGCCATGCCTGTGCGCACAGCGCCATACCTGCGGGGGGGTCCGCTCCCAGCATGTAGGGTGGGGCCCAGGGGACCCCCCCCCGCACGATCGTTAGCGTTACCCGGGCGGGGGGGCGGTTTGGCCTGGGTAACGAGCGTTAGGCTTGGGATGGAACAAAAAACGCTCACGTAGCGCCAGCCATCGGAGCACCCAGTGATGTATCAGGCATCGTGCCGTTCCCGCTCCACCAGTCATCAGTACCACTTAGCACTCAGTGGAGGAGGCGCCGACACGGAGGAGCTGGGAAGGACGAAGGACGGATATGTTCTTCCTCCCGCCCCTGGCTCTGAGCCCAGAGGAGGGCCAGTTGAGCCACCGGCGGCTCTCCCGCCCTGCACAGATCGGGGGGTCAAAATCCGTCCCCGGATCCGTTCCCAGAGGGTACATATCCGGACATCCGACGTCTCGACTGTTTCGAGGCGGGCCCCCGATCTCTCGACCGCTTCTCCAGGACCCGCTGTTCATCCCGAGCCGTTGTCTTCGACGGTCCCGAGGCCCGGTGAGGGCCCTGAGGGGCCGAAGCCGATGAAAAACCTTGGTGCCGATTTCTTCGAGACGCCAGGTGTCTGCGCATGCTGACTCGCTGTTCGCGGCGGAGCCAGCATTGGCGACGAGAAGCCTCCAGGAGACCTCCAAAAGGACAAACGAAAACGCCAAGGAAGGCCGCCGACGTCTCGGCTACTCAGCCCTGCGCCGATTAGCCCTCCCCTGGGCGCGCGGCCCAGTCGTAACAAATATATTGTACCGGGAACTCTACGTGTACCTCGGAGCAGTATTGTGTTCCATTTTCTGCTTCACAGTCGCGTTGCGCTCCGCTGCCTGCTTCACAGTCGTGGGGCGCTCAGCGTTCTCGCTCTCTGTTGCAGTTCTTCTGAAGAGTCGCCAATTGCGCGCTCTTCCGCCCACGCGTCCTACCGGATGCACGGCTTAGTGGTGGTGGTGGTGGGGGAGGAGGAGGAGGAGGACGAGGAGGAGGAGGAGGAGGAGGAGGAGGAGGACGAGGAGGAGGAGGAGGAGGAGGAGGAGGAGGAGGGAGGAGGGAGGAGGAGGAGGAGGGAGGAGGGAGGAGGGAGGGGGGAGGGAGGGAGGGAGGTGGTGACATCCGAACCCTACCCCCACCGCCCCTCGCTTCTCCCGAATCGAGTGGGAGGCGGGGGTAGGGTCCGAACTTCGCCACGTGCTCGACGAATCCCGAACCCTGCCCCGCCGCCCCTCGAGCTGCCCGAATCGTTGATCGGCGAGGGTCGGGTCGAGATTTCGCCGCCGAGCGCAATTCGGCTACATGCAAGTGTGACCCTGGGTAAGAGTGACCTTTGGTGCGCGGCTTTTTGGGGGCCGCGGGAGGCCAAACCTGGGCGCGCAAGCCCCTGCTACCGCTTCGTTTTCAGCCATCTGGGGGCCCATCTGTGCCCGCACCAAACGCCACTCCGGCGAAAGGTCACTCTTACGTCTAGTCGAGTAATGACCGGGCCAGGGAGGGATTCCCGCCGCACGGGGCCTGGGAAGTCGCCCGGGGTGAAGTACTTGCACTTCTGGTTGTTGAAGAGCCAGCTCCCGGTGCGCTGCAGCGAGTCCACCTCCACCTGAGGAGCAGCCCACCCCGCGACGCGGGTCGCGCGCCCTGGCCCCGATCGCCCCGCGCCCTCGAGGAGCGCGGAGAGCGATCCTGTCCGATCGAGGGGGCCCGTGGGACCGCACGAGATCGGCGCCCTGATCGACAGAGGAGGGGAGGAGGATGAGAGAAAGGGGGCACTGAGAAGACGGGGTGTGGGAGGACCGCGGGAAATCTGGCAGACAGTGAGGAGGGGATCATCGAGGAGGGAGGATGAAGAGAAGGAGGCAGGAGGAGAAGGAAGGAAAGGAGGAGGAGGAGGAGGAGGAGGAGGACGAGGTGGAGGAGGGGGTAGGAGGAAGGAAAGGAGGGAGAGATAACGTGGCTCAAGTCCAACCAGCGTACAGAGGAGGGGGGATAAGGATCAGAGAATAGGGAGGAAGAGGCGAAGGGACCAGAGGGTGGGAGGGGGAGAGGAATGGGAGGAGGAAGAGGAGGGAAAGAGATCAGGAGGAATTTCAGGGAAGAGGAGGGGAGTGAGAAGGGGAGGAGGAGGAGGAGGAGGAGGAGGAGGAGGAGGAGGAGGAGGAGGAGGAGGAGGAGGACAACGATGAGGAGCACGAGCGAGGAGGAAGAGGCAGGCGCAGGAGGAAGGAGGGGGGGCGGAGGAGGAGGGAGGAAGAGGATGCCTAGGTGATGGAGGATCGCCAGAAGAGCTGGGCGGCGGGGTCGTCTGAGCAGCCCGCGCAGCGCAGGGTCTCCTCGCCCACGCGGTTGCGGGCTCCGCAGCAGCGGAAGCCCTCGTGGCACGCCTTTCGGCCGTCGAACTTGACGTCGTCCCCCATGACCAGCAGATTGTGTGTTCGGCCGCTGGCCTGGTCGAGGCCTCCTCTTCCTCCTCCTCCTCCTCTTCGTCGTCGTCTTCGTCCTCTTCCTCCTCCGCTTCCTCTGTTCATGCTCCCTTTCCTCGTGCCCCCCCTGCTGCTGTCCAACATGCACCTGCTTCGCCCCGCCTCCTCCTCTTGCTTGTCCTACTCCACTTCTTCTTCTTCTTCCGCCTCCACCCCCTCCTACTCCGCCTGCTCCTTTTTCATCCTCCGCTCTCCTTCTCCTCCTCCCCCATCCTTCCTCCTCCGCCTCTTGTTTCCCCATCTTCCCCTCCCAGGCAGCATCCCATTATCCCTCCCCCGTCTTGCTCACCGTCATCGTCCTCCTGCAATTGCTCCCGCTCATCCCCCTCCTGTTGCCCCAATCCTGTCCATCTGTCCTCCCCTCGTAATCGTAATCTCCCGCCTCTGGCTCCTGCTCCTCTTCCTCCTCCGCCTCTTCTTCCCCCCGTCGTCCCTGCTCCTTTTCCTCCCCTTCCCCCCCCCGTCGCATCTTTCGTCATCGTCGTCCCTCCGCCTCGCTCTGCTCCGTGTCCTCCTCCTCCTCCGTCTGCCCTCCTCCTCCAGTGGCGCGCGTGCCTGATTGAGGAAGCCAAACTGCCAGTCGCTCGCCTTCGTCTCTCTGCGGTCCTTCTCGTCGTCGGTGGCAGGCCAGCGCATCTCCCTGCAGTGCTCCTCGCTGGAGATCCACCTCGACGCATCGGCTACGCGCAAGAGGCTGGGGGGAGGGGACAAATCCGAGCCCGCACGCCGCTGCTCCCGCACCGCATCCAGCGATCGGGGACCCTCGCACATCCCACCTCAACCACGCCCCTCCCTCCTCACTCCTTCCCTCCTCCCCTCCTTCCCCTCCGTCGTTCCCGCCCCCCTCCTCCTTCACTCCCCTTCCCGCCGCCAGCGCCCCCCCCCCTCCCCGAACCCCCAAAAGTCACTCCGCAGAAGTGTCCCCCTTGCGCGCTGCCGACAGAAGGCGACGACGTCGACGACACTAGAAAGGGAGAAGAATCAGGGGGGAGGCCAATGAACGGCCCAAGCTGGCCCCAGCAGGGCCCCAGTAGGTCCCGAGATAGCACACGCATAACCCTGAGCGGAAATGAGGGGCAGAGGGGGCGGACGAGGCGTGAGGAGGACTGATACGTGAGGAGGACACGAGAAGGATGAGAAGGGAGGAGAAAGACAGGCAATTAAGTTTCGTCGTGTGAAGCGAACTTCCCTCCCCTCCGCCTCCTACTCCTCCTGTTCCTCCTCGTCCTCCTCTTCCGCACCTCCTCCTCCTCCTCCTGTTCACCTTCCACATCCCCTCCTCCTCCTCCTCCTCCGCCTCCTCTTCCTCCTCCTCCTCGTCCTCCTCAGATTCGCATCGCGTGACGGACCTGATTTGCCGAGAAGAGCAGGGACGTGGAGGGGCACATTGACAACGACAAAATGGCAATGAGAAGGATACCGATGTTGTGTATTCGAAGGCAATTGCGTGCAAATGCAAAAAGACAACGTGATCGGAAACCACTCCGAAAATACGGATACGGAAAACAAAACACGGGGAACTTTTGGAAAACAAAAAAACGGGGGGAAACGGGAACGGAATCGAAAGATTATGAACAACCAATAATCTTGGAACTTCGTAGCTCCAGGACAGGATTACGGCGCGAGTGGAAGATAACAGTGAGCGTTGGCAAAGACACACGACATTGAATAATGATGAAAAGCAGAAAGGCAAGGAACTGTGAATACGGGGGGGGTAGACGAGCATGACTAGCACAATTAAGCCAAACAGGAGCAGAGGAAGTAGGAACAACAGAAACATAGGGAAACACGACATGATACGTTTCCACAACGGGAGCGATGCCGACATAACTGGTCACCCCCATCCAGTCCAAGCAACATTTTCGCCATCGTGGACCCCAAACAGCAGGTCCTTGCAACCTACGCGATGCAACCCATGAGGTGCAATCTACTTCTGCTCGTGCAAACACCCCACCCTCCCACCAACAGCTTGGTCGCACGACCTCTTCAGACCGTGACGGTAGGTACCACATGGCACTTGGCAGCGACACCGACGCCTTCGACGACAAAGGCGACGGCGACGACTTCGACGACGACGGGAACGACGACGACGACGACGACGACGACGACGACGACACCGACGACGACGACGACGACGCCGACGCCGACGCCGACGACGACGACAATGACGCCGACGACGACGACGCCGACGCCGACGACGAAGACGACGACGAAGACGACGACGACGACCACGACGACGACGACGGCGACGAAATAGGAGGGACGACGACGAGACGCCGACGACGACGACGACGAGGGAGGAGGAAAGGCGACCACGGCGACAACGACGACGGAAACGACGACGACGCCACAGAAGACGACGACGGCGACGACTGATCAAGCCGACGACGATGACGGCGTCCTCGCGTCGGTGATGAACATCTTCGAAGGAATTCGGCATGCGCCCGCGGCAGACGTGCAAGAGTGGCCCGCATGGTATCATGTGACACGGATCGCGCCACCCCAGCACGCCCGCAAGGGCGTTCGAACGAGCTCGATATGAGCGCGCACGAAGCCCGTGTAGTAGCATGTTATGTAGAAATTGAAAGACGTATGGCTTACATTAAGAATTCGCAAGAATACGCGCGCACGTTTTTTTTTTTTTTTTTTTGTTTTACAACCCGTGTTGCGAAACCATTGTTTTTTGTTGAGGAAAAAATCTGGACAATCGGTTCTGCAATCCTTCCGACACCGAAGGTTGTTGAAGGATTCCAGCATGCGCGCGCGACGACGCGCGCGTGTGCACTTCGTCTCATTTGTTGCAAGGGATTCGCGCGACGGCACGCGCGCAAAGGCGTTCGAACGATTTCGGCATGCACGCGCGCGAAACCTGTTTGGTAGAATGTTATGAACATGTTTAAAAACCGATGGTTTACTTAAGAATTCGCAACAAAGGAAACGCACGCTTGTTTTGAACATCCGCGTTGCGACACCATGTGTTTTTTTTTATGTTGTTTGGACAGCCGGTTTTGCTATCCTTCCGAAACAAAAACTTCTTGAAGGATTTCGGCACGCGCGCGCGGCAACGCGCGCGTGCGCTTTTCGTCACATTTGTTGCAAAGGATTCTTGGCAAGGTATGACTTTTGATAAACGAGCGCGCGCATAATATTTGCTGCGGGGGGGACGATGCCGGCCTCCTGGGACAATGTAATTTCATGTTTAGGATGGGCGATGGGGCAGGATCATACGCGAACTGCAATACGAAAAGGGAGGTCGTTAAGTCCGGGGGGGGGAGGGTGATAGAACGGGTCTCCTTAAGAAAAGAGAACTGACTTTAACAAACGGGTTGGCACATCCCACGCTCTTGCAAACATCCCACCCACCCACCCGCAACTTGGTTTGCAAAGCCTGTGCTGTGGCAGTTGCGATGCATGCTTGGCGTTCGCTGGTGCATCTCTGCGGCCGCGCCAACCCAAGCACTTGCGCGCGCAGAGGCCAGCTTGTTTGGCGCCACCGACGCGGCCGCGGTGGCGCTGACCGCTGGGCACATCCCAGCGGGCACTTGGGCGGGCGCGGTATCATGGCAACGTCGACGACGGTAGACACAATAATGATAGTAGCGATGCTGGTGGCGATGTTGACACCGACGAAGGCGCGGCTAATGCGGGCGCCGGTGCTGATTACGCCGGCGACGATGACGGCGTCTTCGCGTCAGTGAGGGTTCTGGAAAGAGTTCGACATGCGCGCGCGGCCGACGCGCGAGGTGTTTGAAAAACCATGTTAGTCTTAAGAATGCGCAAGAGCGCGAGCGCACATGTTTTTAAACATTGATGTTGCGAAACCGTTGGTTGTTGCACGTGTGATTGGCATTCGGATTCGAAATCGCTACGTAACAGCTGTTTTTGTTGACGGTTTTCGGCATGCGCGCGACGACGCGCGCGCACCTCGTCCCATTTGTTGCAATGGATTCTCGCGACGGCACGCGCGCAAAGGCGTTCGAACGATTTCGACATGCGCGCGCTCGAAGCCCGTTTAGTTGCATGTGCTGCACCTGTTGAAAAAAAGAAGAAGAAACAACTATGGTTTTCTTGGGAATTCGCAAGATCACGCGCGCACGTTTGTTGTTGGAACATCCGTGGTGCGAAACCATCTGTTTTGATCTGTGTTTTGGACACTCGATTTTGAACCTCTGAAGAAATTTCGGCATGCGCGCGCGACGACGCGCACCTATATATATATATATATATATATATACATATGTATATATGTGCCGTGCAAGGTACTCCTGTCAATTTATGGTTTTTGATAAACGAGTACGCACGCACAATAGGTGATGCAGCCGTCGGCGCGAGCGGTTCGCAAGCTACGCGGCACAGAAGAGAGACTACGCACGCGCTGTCTTCTGACAGCGGACGCAGCCGTGCACGGCGCGTCGCGGCGTGAAACTCAGCGCCAACTGCGAGCAATATCATGTGGGGTGGCCATCTGCTCATAGAGTCCCAAAGAGATCAAAGGAAAATTCGCGCGGACCCGACATGCCGCCACGCTGGTTCCGGGCAGGCTGCGCGGTCCGGCGGAAGGGGACGAGGAGGGGAGAAGCAAGCAGACGACGACGAACGCCCAGGCGGGAGGCCAGGGCCGGCGGGGCGGGCGGGCAGGCAGAAAACGGGCCAGGCGGAAACAGCAGGCAGGGAGTAGGAGGAAAGGAAAGGGAGGGAAGCAACGAGCAGAAGGAGGAGGAGGAGGAGGAGGAGGAGGAGGAGGAGCAGCAGCAGCAGCAGCAGCAGCCGCAGCAGCAGCAGCAGCAGCAGCAGCAGCAGCAGCAGCAGCAGCAGGGCCGGGCCAGGGGCCGGGAGGGAAAGGCTGCAGAGGATGAAGGGGGGGGGATACCGGCCTGCCTGGCTGGGATGCTATAAATCCTACCAGCCCTCTGGGTGCAGGTGGTCTGGGCCGTTTCCTGTTCCAACCTCCTTGCTTTCCCTGCTCGGGAGGTTTGCCTCCCCCCCCCTCCCTGGGTCTAGACGGCGGGGGCACCGATGTGGCAGAGCGTCCCTTTTTGCCCAAGAAGGCTCCAAGAGGGCCCCAGAGACCCTAAGATGGCCTCCGCGATGGCTCAAGGTAGCTCAATATGGCTCATGATAGCCTCCGACACGCACCCGAGAGGCGTCAAGACGGCCCCAAGAGGGTTTCAAGTGCCCTCCGAACCCTCCGAGGATCCCCCCTATGAGGCTAAAATCCATCAGCAACCAATGGAGAATCCATGTTTTTTGCCTTCTCGCTTTGTCGCCCTCCGATGGGTTCTTGAGGCCTCAATATGGCCCCAAGACAGCCCGGGAGAGCCCCAACAGGGGACCAAGAGGGCCCCAAGACGGCCCCAAGAGCGCTAAGGAGCGCTCCGAGAGCGGCCTGAGAAGGCCCCCAAACGGCATTTTTGAGCCTCCGAAGGGGCGGTCCGAATTAGAACCCCCCCTCTTTCTGAACAGCCGGGGCCAAGACGGCCCCAAGAGGCATCCCAAAACCGTCCAAAGAACCCCAAGAGGGCCCCAAAGACCCTGCAATGACGTCGACCCTGCAAACACCATGCAATATCCAACCTCCTTCCTCCCTTGCTTGGGAGGATTACCTCCCGCCCGTCCCTGGGCGTGACTCATAGCAACGTCCAGGATGGCCGAAGACGGCTCCAAAAG